GTGTGTGTGTACGTGGTGCGTGCGTGCGTACGTGCGTGCGTGTGGCGTGCGAGTGCGTGCGTGCGTGCGTGCGTGCGTGTGTGCGTGTAGTGTTGTGAGGGGGGGGGTGGGGGGTATGGGTGTGTGCTGGTGCGTGCGAGCGTGCGTGCCGTGCGTGCGTGCGTGCGTGTGTGCGTGTGGTGTGCGTGCGTGCGTGTGTGTGTGGCGTGCCGTGCGTGCGTTGCGGTGCGTGCGTGCGTGCCGTGCGTCGTTGCGTGTGTGTGTGTGTTGTGTGCGCGTGGCGTGTGTGTGTGTGTGTGTGTGCGTGGTGTGTGTGTGTGTTTGTGTGTGTGTGTGTGTGTGTGTGTGTGTGTGTGTGTGTGTGTATATATGTGTGTGGGTTGTGTGTGTGTGTGGTGTGTGTTTGTGTGTGTTGTGTGTGTGTGTGTGTGTGTGTGTGTGGTGCTGTGTGTGTGTGTGTGTGTGTGTGTGTGTGTGGTGTGTGTGTGTGTGTGTGTGTGTGTGTGTGTGTGTGTGTGGGTGTGTGTGTGGTGTGTGTGTATAATCTATATATATATATAAGCTCTTGCGTGAGGTGAGGGTCGAGTATATATAACGTAGGCCTAGCACCCAGCGCCGTGCGTGAAATCGTGCTGTATATAGGCACAAGGCCGATCAGTAGCGAACACAAGTTATGCATAATTAAATATGCAGCGCGTGCCAGCGTTGCGTGTAAAAAAACAACCCGAATATCTTTAGTAATATTCGGCACAAACAAAATTTAGATAGAGTAACACGCAAGGCGCGGAGTGTAGCGAATGTTAGTAAAAAACCTTTCCGATGAGCATTGTAATGTCTGTTGTTAGTAATTCGCGTCATTGCGGTGTTGAAATAATGGATTGAACTGCATGTAAAATGGCTTTTACAGCCCGCTGCAACGCTTTGGCGGGGAATTGCCTGAAGCGTAGAAAGTGGCAATGAAAATGCTTGCGCCTTGTAATACGATTTGAATAGCTTCACTAAGGCAGCGAACTGATATATACTGAGATGGCTATTAGTGGAAGCAATTAAGTGTTCATATCAATGCAGGGAATAAGGCCACCGTATAATAGTCACTCCAGTCATACGGCTACTGCGCTCAGGCAGCTAATGAGAGAGAGGCTGGCAGGTTTTATTACGTTTCCTCGCATCTGGCGTATCCTACCACACACATGTACACCCTTCCGGAGTGTAGCAGCCAATCCTAGCATGAATTAAACCGTCTTGTTCCAGGTGATTAAAATGGTCCAATTCCGCGTAGCAAAAACATATACCCGCCCGCCCCCCTCCCAGCAGGGGAACATGTGTATGTTGCGTCAGTTTGAAAAAGTATTGGGGAAACATTATTAAAGCGCCTGGCGTGGCGGGTGGCGGGAGGGGGGGGGTCAAAGATATTATAACCGCTAACTATGTATAACGAGAATTAACTTTTCACGGTGCTAATAGTGTATAGAGGAACAATGGAATGGGGTCATTCCCAGTTTCCCAGGTGACAAATATGTGCATAATTTTCTAAGTTTCCGGCATAATTTAAATCGTAAGTTCAATTTTTTTACTTTCTCGCGGCCGGTTGATTTCAATTGCCGAATCATTAAAGAAAACTGTCCTGGTATTTCTCGGTTAATTCCAACTAATTTACAATTAAGGGCGGTTGTAATTAATTGCGTGTGTATGTGTGTGTGTTGTGTGTAGTGCGTGTGCGTGTGCGTGTGCGTGTGCGTCGTGCTGTGTGCGTGTGGCGCTAGTGTGCGCGTGCGAGAGTGGTGTGGTGCTTGTGCGTGAAGTGGCGTGTGTGCGTGGCGTGCGTGCGTGCGTGCGTGCGTGTGTGTATTGTGTGGTGTTGTGTGTGGTGCGTGGCTGCGTGTGTGTGTGTGTGTGTGTGTTTGTGAGTGTTGTGTGTGCTTGTGCGTGCGTGTGTGCGTGTGTGTGTGTGCTGTGTGTGTTGTTGTGTGTGTGTGTGTGTGTGTGTATGTGTGTGAGTGTGTGGTGTTGCTTAGTGCGTGGCGTGTTGTGTGGTGTGTGCGTGCGTGTGTGTGTGTGTGTGTGTGTGTGTGTGTGTGTGTGTGTGTGGTTGTGTGTGTGTGTTGGGTGGGCGCGCGAATGTGTGCGTGGCGTGTGTGTGTTGTGTGGTGTGTGTGGTGTGTGTTGGTGTGTGTGTGCTGTGCTGTGTCGTGTGTGTGTGTGTCGTGTGTGTGGTGTCGTGTGGGTGTGTGTGCTGTGGTGTGTGGGTCGCGCGCTGTGTCGTGGCGGTGTGTTGTGTGTGTGTGTGTGTGTGTGTGTGTGTGTGTGTATTGTGTGTGTTTGTGTGTGTGTGTGTGTGTGTGTGTCGTGTGTGTGGTGTTGTGTGTACGTGGCTGTGGTGTGTGTGTTGTGTGTGTCGTGTTTTGTGTGTGTGTGTGTGTGTCGTGTGGTGTGTGTTCGCGCTCGCGCGTGGCTGTGTGCATGTGTGCGCGCGCGCGCGTGTGTGCGTCGCTGTGCGTGCGTGCGTGCGTGCGTGCGTGCGTTGCGTGCGTGTGTGTATGTGTGTGGTGTGTGTGTGTGCGTATGCCGTGTGTGTGTGTGTGATGTTGTGAGTGTGTGTGTGCTTGTGCGCTGCGTGTGTGTGTATGGTGTGTGTGTGTGTGGGGTGTGTGTGTGTGTGTGTGTGTGTGGTGGTTTGTGTGTGTGTGTGTGGTGTGTGAGTGTGTGTGTGGTGTGTGTGTGTGTGGTGTGTGTGTGTGTGTGTGTTGTGTGTGTGTGTGTGTGTGTGTGGTGTGTGTGTGGCATGTGATGTGTACATGGATGAGCAGCGAAGCCAGAATTATCGGTTGAGATCGGCTCTCGCGCATGCAGGCAATATCAATATATGACGCTCCTCGTGCATGCAGGCAATCCAGGCAATCACGTTATAAAGTGAAGCGATGGCGACAAGCACATAGAACTAACAGATGATTTATTAGCGAATAACTTGGAATGACTCAGATTTTCGGTAAAAAATGCCTTTTTCTTTGTCAGTTTGAATAACAGCGCGTTTCCTTTCTTTTATCGGGCTCGTGTTACGATTCACTCATTTCGTGTGAAATCTATAGCAAATTTATATCCGTCAGAATAAGGGTTAACGACGGTAACGCTAAATATTTTTAACACTTAGAACACAAAATAGAACATCTTTTCCGTCGCCGGACGGATCTAGCACTGTACCTCACAACTTGAAAAATAAAATTTGTAAAAATCGTAAATTTGTCTTCATTTGCTTGTCTCGCGTAGTTTTAAGACGTTCGCGAAAACCAATGTTTAATATAGTTAATATGTTTAATATAGCCCTAACCCTATCATAAACCTTTGACTAACAAGCAGGTTGTTCGATAACATTAAAAATGTTACGTTACATCAATAGATAAGCTTCGGTATAGAAGTTTCAGGAAATTTTTGAGTCTCAGACTATTTTTACACACGAATCGTTAAGAAGCGTTGACTCAATGTTTGCTCAACATGTAGGTGCAATTTACACAGTCAGCGATTCGAAAGACCGTCTGCATACTATAGCTTATAATCTTATTTCATATAAATCACACAGATTATGTATAATGCGGGCTGACTGACATTTTAAGCTCAATGTTCTGTCAGAGGCATTGAGAGTTGTTAAAGCAAGCATACAGAGAATTGCTCAAATTGTAAATATAATGTAATGTAATTGTGTCGCATAATTCAGAAAAACGATACTTTTCAAAGTTATTAAACATGGAACTTTCACATGTTTCGGTGTTCCGTGGCATGCATCAACTGCTTCCATGCCGCCATGCAGTACGGCATCCGAGCCAAGAAAACATTAACGCATATCTACTAAGATTACAGCTAAACAAATAATTCAACAGCAAAAAACAGCAAAAACACGTTTCCATCTAGGTTCTTACCTCACAACGTTTTTTAGGACTAATTCTTTCGCGCGCGTGCACTATAAATGCCATTAGCTTTACTAATAGACGGTATATTCATTATCATAATATCTGTCTAATCGCCACGTCCTTCAATTTCTACAGAAACACTATATATTATTATTAAATTCTAGACAGGTATCAATGGCGTCTTTGACAATTTACAGAATAAGATAGCTTCATTAGCCGAGTTACGCCATATAGGACATTTTAGATTTTCTATGATTTGCTGTTTTAGGGCGTTGGCTTATTGAATTTTTGTCATATAGCAGAGACATAATTGATCCCACAGAGCTATTGGCTGATACCCGATATCATGTTATACGTTCTACCGCTTGAATGTTTGCGTTTGCGTAAATCTGTATAATTCGTATAGGCCTACGGCTGTTGGGTATAGATTTATTTTCAAGGTATTTTTACTTTCATATAATTCTCCGTAAATGGTTGACCGATATTGGAACGCATTTATTATTTATTTTAGACATTGTCAGTATATATTATACTCAAAGATTTCAGTATGAGAATTGTGATGTTGGTGATGATGATGATGATGACGGTGATGATGATGGTGATGATGATGATGATGATGATGATGATGATGATGATGATGATGATGATGATGCCACAGCAACAACAATCATGATGTAGATGACGTTCAGTTGCACGAGCATCGTCAGGACTAATAAGAAAATTCAATTGATTGAAGGAAATTAATTAAAAATAGTTATCAGATTTCATGCTCAGATAATATGATGCCCGTATAGAATTGGAAATACGTCATACATAACTTGGAGTAATTGAAGCGTCATAAATATTTTAATCTATACAGAACTGTGACCTAGATTAGACGAGAGAGAAATTTTCCCAAGTACCACGCCCCGGGTAGCATACAGACAAGAAAGCAATAACCGAAAGTAGATCTTACTAGGAGGCGTAAGAAAGATCTACCGAACGCTACAGATCATAGTACCCGTGCGTGGCGCAACGTTACTGCGTTATTACTGCTACACGGATAGCACATAATTATATTATAACTACATGATGATGATTTTTCATTACATTATTTAGGTCCAAGCATGAACAAGTGCAATAAGCTAGCGACGCTGCGTAGTCGGAGCATCGACCATGACCTTGACCACGAGCGGGAGAAGCGGGCACGGGAAGTGCAGCTCTTGATTCTCGGTAACCGTTGCTTTACATCGCAATCATGATAGCTCGATAACATCGCTCCGTGCATGCAGTAATCACATATATAATGTAATATATAATAGCCAAAGTCCTGTAAATTCATATTAATTTCCTGTTATTCCGGTAAATTTAAAATAAGTATAAATATTTCCGTTCTAATGGGAGAATACAAAGAAGCAACCTGGAGATATGTTTCTGTTTAATTAAACAATTTATCCCACAAGGATTTTTTTATTTTTGTTTGACTTTTAAGCTACGTTGAACAATCATAATATATATAATATAAAGCTACTCCTTGAAATGTACTTCAAATCAAAATTGTACTTCTATTAACAACGAATGTCTGAATCGGTAAGTAATGAGTTACTTTGCAGAGCTGCGTGTACCTATATGGCTGACTCGTAACTGCCCGTAAAATCAATGCTCCGCGACGACTACAGGCGCGTATAACGACATTGACTGTATGTAACGTCGTGTTACAGGCCGCGGCAGGAATCAGGTAAGAGTACGTTCAACCAAACAGCTTAGGATGCCACATATGGCGACGGATAACCCGACAGACGAAAGGGCCAAGTACACGCCCACGTGTTTGACAACTATGTGTGAAGCTCTCCTCACCATCTCCGTCAACATGAAGACTTGTAACCACTCAGCTTCCAGTCAGGATGAGATGACAGGTAATATGTGTGTGTGGTAGAAGGTGTTCAGGAGGACTTCGCTGCTTATTCGCTCGCGCGTGTGACATAACTAACTAATGATGGGGTAAGCCTTAGCTTTGTCATTTTTCGGCGGATGCGTATTTTTTGTTCCAGGGCGCATCAAGAATTTCGACCCGCTAATTTAATGTCGTCATCCGGGCGATTGTATTTATACCTAATTATTTTATGAGTAGTAAGATAAATGAAAGTTTGGCGGAGTCTCTCAATCCGATTTGCCAAGTTCGACATCTTAGTCATCGAAGGCACGCGTTGTGTAGGTGTTCCACTTAGAGATTCTTTGAGAGAATCGAGGTCGACATTGCATAGCATGCGCAATGGCGGTACAGTGCTTCCAACCCGCTTTAACGGGCCTCCGCTGAAGGAAGCGCATCGCTTAATGAACGGGTGTCTCCTGGAACGGGGCTCGGGACGATAAAAACAATCCTTACGCACGTTGTTAAATGTTTTAGTATTTTCAATGGGTTTTACAACTCGTTCCCCATGAAGCTGTGAAGCACTGGTATCAGCATTCATGATCACGATGCCGAGCTCACAAAAACTGTCTAACACGCGTAGTATAGTTTGTCTTATAAGCTATCCGCGCTCATAATAAATTCCTGTCATTCAACTGATACGTATCGCCTATTATCGTCCGATGATGCGAATAATATCACACAGGCAGCAGCAACCGCAGCAACAATGCTAAGTTAATCACTTAGACACAGCAGCAACCTGCAGCAAAAACGATGCTAAGTTAATCACTAGACACACAGCAGCAACCTGCAGCAACGGTGGCTAAGTTAATCACTAGACTGGCCATTAAGCACTTCCGCTCATACAAAATTTTTTAATTCATTTCTGTTTTTCGTCTGTAGATAACTGTTTTGTTAGTAGAAAATATTATATAGGCCTATACATATATATATATATATAATATATAATGAATTCTAAGCAGAAGAAATCAAATAAGCAATTATAATCTGAGCAAATTATGAAGAAAATAATTTTTTTTTTTTTTTTTTTTATTTTTTTTTTTTTTTTTATTTTTTTTTTTATTTTTTTACAATAATGATAGACCTAGAGTTTATACCTATAAATAAGGGTTCACCAATATGCGTTACCTCGTTTCTATGAACAGCCAATGTCCGTGAATTTCTAAATGGTTTAGCCAGTGATCTGTTCATGCTATGTTGCAAATGAATATATATATATATAACAATTATAAATATATAATATAATTATTATAAGTATATATATAATTATATATATATATAACAATTATAATATAATGTTGTGGCCCAAGGTGGGTTTTATATTGCTCAGAGGTGGGGTGTTAAATTTAAGCGTTTTGACCGTGTGAACGTTATAGGCCTATACGTCTGCTTCGCATTCACTCCCGTTGATACGACCGTGGCGCGTTGTGCTGAGCACGTGAGCGGGATTCTGTAAAATCTCTCAACTGTCACGCGGGCAACAGCCACGCGGGGGGGCGGGCGCAGAATGGAGTAAAAGCGATCAGGATGTGTAAGTCAGGCTTATACTGAAGTAATTAGTTAGTTGAAGAGATAATATGCGACGG